GGTTCCCCCCTCCCCCCGCGCTAACAAAAGTCCTGCCCCCCCCCAACAAAAATCCTTGCTATGTCCATGGCACCTCCCCAGGTGAAAAAAACCACTGCATTAGCAGTACCGAAGTGACCTTCCTGGGGTGCAAGCCTGGGCAGCATGTATGGAGGTCCTGGACTGCCAAGACAACAAGATGTCCAACTGGTGTGGTCCAAAAGAAAGTAGAGGGAGACGCTTGGCACCAGCTTGGCTGCAGGAGTTGCCAGAAGGAGGCTTAAAGAAGAAAAGGAAAGGAAAGGAAAAAGAATAAAACAAAATTTTTGATAAAATCAATTAAAACAACTAATTTCGAGCATTGGAGGGAAAAAATAAACCACAGATGATAAAAATGAAAAGAAAAACAGACTCAAAGAGTCTTCCAGTCCCTTAGGCCAGGGGTCTGCAACCCGTGGCTCCGGAGCTGCATGTGGCTCTTTTACACCTTTGCTGCAGCTCCGGGGCGGATACTAGTGAGGGGAGGAGGCGCATTGTGCGCCCCAACACTCCCCACTGTGGCGGGCGCTGTACTGGCTGTGACGTCGCATGGGGGCGGTGCGTGCATTAGTCACGCACCGTCCCGACGTCACCTTCCCGCCCGCTGTCAGATCGGAGGGCAGCGGCGTGCATGCAGGTCTATATTTGTTTTAAATGTCGCAATGGTTTTGCGGCTCCCATTTGTTTTTTTCTTCAGAAACGGGTCCAAGTGGCTCTTTTTGTCTTAAAGGTTGCAGACCCCTGCCTTAGGCCCTCTTTGCACTATCTGGGTTTGGAAGCAGCCAGCCAGAAACTCCCCTAGGTGAAACATCTTTTTCCTCATACCAGCATTGTCCACCAGGTGGCAGCAATGCCCCAATAAACAGGCCTTCTCTGCATACTCTGCTCTCATATTTAACTATGACTTGCAGCCTTGCCCTGCAATGAGCTTCCATACGTGTCATTGAAGGGGGTCTGATTTGTAGGAAATGGTGTCTCAGGAGAGGAAGACAAGATCTTACAGGTTTGTCTCATGCATCCAGCAAAGAATTTTGATCAAATGATACCAGTTGCTGGGAACCAGATGTTGGGCTCAGGCAGCCATTTGAATGGGAGGGGGGTTCCAGTGACCCTTTTATTAGAAGGAAAAGGGGCGTGATTTTGACCAAATTAGGGGGAGGGCTTGTGGGTTTCATTAAGGGCCACATTTGTTCCCCCCATAATGTGAGCACCATCTCTGAGACAAAGTGGTCAGAGAATAACTACTGAAGTTTTTTCCCTTCCACTCTGCAGTCAGGGAGTATCTCAGGTGTCAAGACACATCCCACCATGGTCCTAACATCCCACAAGATGTAGCAATACTTCAAATTAGGGCACTGCTACATGAAAACATTCCTGCTTATTCTGCCGAGCAGGGCCCAGGAATTGTGCAGCCTGGTGCAATTGCCTCATTTCACCCAATAGTAGGGCCAGCTCAGCACCATTGCTACAAGTCCAAACCTTAGCCTTGATATGGGTAGTGCAGCAGAAGAATTCACATCTTCTTTCCCCCTTGAAGTGTGTGAACCCAAAGGCCAAACACAGGATGGGAAGAACCTAAGAAGAGCTATGCTGGCCAGAGGACCACCTAGTCTAGCATCCTTGGATCAAATCTATGTGTCCAGGTGTCATAAGAAAGCTGCAGAGATAGTGAAGGATAGTGCGCACCCTGGAAATGATCTCTTGCAGCTTCTGCCTTCTGGAAGAAGGTACAGGGTTATAAAGACTAGGACTAGCCACCTGAGGTTTCTATCCAAATGCGATTTTGGTTTTAAACACAGTGTAAGGTAGTCTCTATGGGAGTATATTGTATTTAATTATGGGGTATCAGAGTTTTTAGGGGGCTAACCAGGCTGGGATAGCAGGCTTGTTGGTTTCTGAATGTCTGATGTAGATTTTTATCAATTTCATTGTTCTGTATGGGACAGTGACAATAAAGATTATCGTATCATATCCTCTCATAGTGGACAACCAGATGTCTATGAGGAGCGTGTAAACAGGACCTGAGCACAACAGCATTTCCCCCACTTGTGATTCCTAGCAACCAGTCCTCAGAAGCTGCCTCCAATAATGGAGCATTAAAAATCCCTCAAATTGGGTCTACTAGACCCCCAAAACGATAAGCAAGGTGGACTACAGTTGCTCCTGAAGCCCCTCTGGGATTAGGGGCCCTAAAGGTGAAGCTTCGTTCATTTCATAGCAGAGCTGCCCCTGGCTATATCTGAGCCAAGGTCTTATTTGGGGTGGTCTGCTAGCTCAGTGGAGTAGCATGCGGTCAGGTCACAGGCAGCTTTTAAAGGGGATTACGCAGGTGCATGGAGGAAAAGGCTCCAGATCAGAATACCAGTGATTCCCAGAGTGATCTGCCCAGCTGCTGTAGGAAGCAGGAGGCTCCATCAGATTGGTCTGATCCAGCAGCCTCAGCCTTCCCTGCTTGCGATAAAAAGGAATATCCCTCCAGCTCAGTTTTTCGTTTTATTTTAAGGCCGGCACTCATTACCCATGCTGCTCAAACTTTGCTGTCTTTGTTATTTAAGACACATCCTAAAGTACTTTTGTGTAGGAGGTGGGGTGGTTTCCTTAAAAAAATGTTTCTGAAAGATTCATGAGCCCTGAGCTCAGAACCGCAGGAGAAGCATGCAAAGATTCTCATAAACCTCTGCACCCCAGGTTGAGCCAAAGGCACAGCTTCAGTGGAGAGGCGGATTTGCATAAATTTGCCACATTTCATTAGCATTCTAATAATTAAATGGCAAGGCACTCTTGCTGTCGCCTTCCCTCTTGCCCCCCCCCCCCAATACAGATCGTTTCCCAAGAGCAAAGCCCTGGAAAGTACATGCAAAAGCATTCAATAATATATTCCTGGTTCAAACATAATCCTTGCAAGACATCATCTCAAAAGACGGTAACAATTTCCCAGGCTAAGAAGCAAGTATTCTGTGTAAGTTATTCATTAGCAAGCCTCTCTCGTTTTGTCCTAGGTTTATTAAATGATATTCAGCTGCTCCATTAATTACCTCCTGATGGCTGCTTCTTCGGGCTCCCTGGGCACCAGACAGGGGAACCTGGGAACAGTCCTGCATTACAGAACCTCCACAGCAACGCCTGAAAGCCACTTCGCTAGATCAGAAGGCATAACCCGCAGCCTGGTCTTCCAGACAGAGATGGTTCAGCTGGTTCCAGAATACTGCAGCTGGACCACTGACAGGAACCAGTTTATTCAGTAGGAGTCACCAGCCCATGGGTGCCACAGCACCCATTCAGTCTTCCGGTGGCACCCCTGGGCAGGGATCCCAGACGCTGAGCTTTCTTTCTTTTCTTTTCTTTTTTAAAAGCAAGCCTCTAGTCTCTTAGAATGAATGCTAAGGGTGCATTCATCTCTGTGAAATGAAAGTGGTGCAGCCACCTTATCAATTTTGCGAGAAGGAAGGGAACTGAATAACTCGGACCTCTGAATCCTTGATTTTTGTCATCCTCCTCCAAGGCCAGATCTGAGAGAGAGACAGACACAGACACACAAACACACACACAACACACAACACACATCAGGCTTTACAAGCCTGGTCTTTACAAGCCTGGCTTAAGCACTAGCCTGCCAATTCAGGTACAGCACAGGTACCTCATAGGTCAGTTTGTATTCCTGGTTAAAAATCCATTCTCATTTAGCTTTCGAGAGTGAATTAAGTAAAGGGAGGGCAAGCCGTCTGGCTAGCAATTCAGTTGGCTTGTGGTTAGAATTTAGATAGGCTTTTTTAGTCTGAGCAATTAAGTAACCGAACAAACTGTGAATGGAAAGGAAAATTCAAAAATCTGTGCTGTTCTAATTCTGGCAGCCCAGAGTTCAATGGTGATTACAACAAAGGGTCTGAGGGGAATATCAATGAACAAATTACATAGTGGCGCAGTTGCGGGGAGTGTGTTTCTGTGCAAGTCGAAAGGCAAAGCACAGCCAAGACTCCTTCAGTTTTAATGAGGAGTGTAAAATGTACACTTTTGTGGTGCTCTAAGCAATGCCCCGAACCCAGTAAATGGAAAGGTAAATTGTTAAGTTGTGGGCGAACATAGCAGACGACACAGCGATTTCTCCAGAGCAGCTCTTTATTTGTAAGCTGGGCAGAACTGAACAGCAAACAGCTCAGCCGGCCTGCTTTTATAGGCAGCCGGCTGTCAACATTGTAGCAACAACAACCCAGGGTTTCCTGCCTAAAATAACTGACGTGGACCTGAGTGAAAACTATCTACAGTATCCCCCTGCTGACCCAGGGTGAGAACTTCAGTACATAACACCCCTCCCCACCGAGATAAGGCGCTAGTTACAATCGTAATGGTTTCCTTATATACAGCACTACACGTAATGGTTCAATTAGGCACAACAGCATATCAGTTACATTTCCCATACTTAGACCAACAGTGATACATGTCCAACAACATAGTCCTTTAAATAAGTTGGGCACTTGGAAACTCTGCCAGACTGCCGGGGACTGGTACGGGGGGCCACACAATTCTTGCTGAGGCTGTGGTGCGACCCTAGGTGGCGTTGAAACCAAATCCCCTGGATCCGCTGCTGTGGGTGGAGCCTCCGCAAGTGGAGTGGTCTGAGTCTGTGGTAAGTCTGGCAGACCCTCTGAAGCGGCTTGGTTCGGCTCCACGCTGGCAGTTTGCGAGGGAGGTGTAGGTGGAGCCTCGCCATCTCTAAGTGTCTCTTCTGGAGCCACAAGCGCAGTTGGGGGCACCACGGTAGTGTCCAAGTCCCCAACCCTGCGCCTAAGCTGGTCTATGTGCCGGTGCCACAAGCGTCCATCTTCGAGTGCCACCTGGTACGAGCGAGGTCCAGTGACTCCCACTACTGTGGCTGGCACCCAAGGAATGTCCGCCACATAGTTCCGGGCAAAGACCTGGTTTCCTGGAACAAATGACCATGGCGCGTTGGCACAGCCTGGGGGTTCGGCCACGGCAAAGTCCGGGTGCAGCCGGTCGAGCGGTGATCTGAGGTGGCGGCCCATAAGCAGTTCAGCAGGACTCCGCCCTGGGGCCGCATGAGGGGTGATGTGTTGCACGAACAAGTATTCGGCGACCCGCTCGTGCCAGTCTCCCCGGTCCAGGCGCACCAGTGCCTCTTTTGCCGAGCGCACCATTCTCTCCGCTTGCCTGTTGCTGGATGGATGAAAGGGTCCGTTAGGGCGTGGCGGATGCCCAGTCCCAAAAGATACCGCTCAAAAGTGCCTGACGTGAACTGCGGTCCGTTGTCGGAGACAAGGACATCAGGACACCCATGCGTCGCAAACAGGCCTCGCAGCACCCAGATGACGGCCTCGGTAGTAGCCACCTCCAGCCATTTGGAATAGGCGTCCACCACTACCATAAAGGTCCGGCCGTGAAAGGGGCCAGCCAGATCGATGTGCACCCTCAACCAGGGTGTCTTTGGCATCTCCCAGGTGTGGCCCTTAGCTGCCGGTGGTGCAGGCCTCGATTCTTGGCATGCCTGACAGGCGGACACCCAGGCAGTGATGGCATCATCCATGTTAGGCCACCAGACGTAACACTGAGCCAACGCCTTCATTTTGACAATTCCCAGGTGGCCAACGTGCAGAGCCTCCAGGAAGCATTGACGGAGTCTTTGGGGAATCACGACGCGGTCTCCCCACAGCAGACAGCCGCAATGAGCTAAGAGTTCATGTTGTCTGGTTGCAAAGGGCTGGAACTCCGATGCAAAAGGCCCTTGTGGCCACCCCCTCCACACCCAGTTGAGCACATGGCTGATGGTGCGATCCTGGGCAGATGCGGAGACCACAGTGGCAGCCGATACAGGCGCTGCCGGAAGATCCTCAATCAGGAGGAGCGATGAAGCTGGAGCAGGGTCTTCCACAAACGCTGGAAGAGGGCAACGGCTGAGGGCGTCGGCATGGCCCATCGATTTCCCCGGGCAATGGACGAGCTGGTAGTGGTAGACAGCCAGGAAAACAGTCCATCGCAGCATGCGCGGTGAGAGGACCGGTGGAGTTGGACGATCACCGGCGAGGAGGCCCAGGAGCAGCTTGTGGTCAGTGATGAGGTCAAAAGTCCTGCCATAGAGGTATTCATTGAACCTCTTCACTCCAGCCACAAGTGCCAGTGCCTCCTTGTCGAGCTGGCTGTAATTCCGTTCCGTTGGAGATAGCATCCTGGAAAAGTAGGCGAGCGGTGCTTCTCTTCCATCTGGAAAACGGTGACTAAGGACAGCGCCGATGCCAAAAGGTGAGGCGTCACAGGCAAGGACCAGCGGCCTGGCTTCACTGTACTGTACCAGCACACTGTCCGATGAAAGGAGAGCCTTGACCGCGTTGAAGGCCGCTGTCTCCCGATGACCCCAGGACCAAAGGCGTCTTTGTGCTGAGGAGTTGGTGAAGAGGCTCAGCCACCGTGGCTTTGTGGGGCAGGAACATGTTATAAAAGTTCAGCAGCCCCAGGAACGCCTGCAACTCTGTCTTGTTCTTTGGGATGGGGGCCTGCTGGATAGCGCGGATCTTGGATGTGGTCGGGTGAAGGCCGGAGGCATCAATAAGATAGCCCAGGAACTCTACCTGTGGAACGGCGATCTGGCACTTCTCCCTCTTTACCTTGAGCCTGGCCTCTTGGAACCTGGTCAGCACGGCACGGAGGCGCTCGAACAGCTGCTGGTGTGAGTCTGCGGACACCAAGATGTCATCAAAATATGGTACCACACCCGGAAGCCCTTGCAGGAGACGCTCCATAAGGCTTTGGAAGATGCCAGGAGCCACACTCACCCCGAACTGCAACCGGCGGCAACGGAATGCCCCTCGGTGGGTGACGATCGTCTGGGCTTCAGCAGTGGCATCATCGATGGGCAGTTGTTGATAGGCTTGGGCAAGGTCCAGCTTAGCGAAGACCTTACCCTCACCCAGGGAATGCAGCAGGTGTTGGACAACAGGAACCAGATAAGCGTGCTGTTGAAGTGCCTTGTTGATCGTGCACTTGTAGTCAGCGCAGATTCTCACCGACCCATCTGGCTTGACAGGCATGACGATGGGGGTTTCCCACTTGGCATGGTCAACCAGCTCCAAAACTCCTTGGGCAATCAGCTTGTCCAGTTGTTCATCCACCTTAGCCTTGAGAGCAAAGGAAACCCAGCGTGGCTTTAGCTTGATGGGGGCGACTTGTGGATCAAGGCTAAAGGAGATGGGCGTACCTGTATATTGCCCCAAAGTGCCGTCAAAAACCTTGGCAAAGTCTTTGACCAGACCCTCAGTCTCTGCGTTAGAGATGCAGTTGATGCCGGTGACTTCCAGGCCGAGGACATCAAACCAGTCTAGCCCTAGGAGGCTTGGCCGCTGACCTTCTACCACCACCAGTCGGAGCAGGCCCGAAAAATCCTTGAAGGCGATCCGGAACCGGCCAACCCCTACCACGGGAATGTCGTTTCCCTGGTAGTCTCTCAGGTGTACGCGATGAGAGTCGAGTTGCCTTTTGGACACTCTGGGTACCAGTCTTTTGATGGTGCTCCAAGACACGATGGACAGGGAAGACCCAGTGTCGATCTCCATGTCACATGGAGCTCCTTCAATGAGCACCATGACGTTCAGCTTGCATCGCGTAGGCGAGTCGGTTTGGCCAATCGTGGTTCCAGACGGGCAGCAACAGTTGGTGAGAGCGAAACAGCTTTCCTTGGCAGACTGGAGTGAAGACTTGGACTTGCGAGTCGGTGAAGGGGGGGTGTCAGACGGAGCCGATCGGCAGACCTTAGCGATGTGGCCCCTTCTGGAACACTTCCTACAGATGGCGTCTCTGAATCAACACTTGGCACGGGAATGGTTGCCTCCGCAGCCGGCACATTCCGGTTGGCCCTTGGACTTCTGTTGGAACTTCCTGCACTCCCGCTTTGTCTGGTGCATGTCATCGTCTTCACTGGAGGATGCCTCATCACTGCTGGCCTCTTCATGATGCACTGGAACTGGCTTCCTAGCAAGACGTGGGCTGCTGGACTTGTGGATCTCCTGGGTGGAGCGTTCAGCAGCTTCTGAGGCCACAGCCTCCTCGGTGGCTTTCTGTAGCGTCAGGTCTGGCTTGGTGAGGAGACGCTGTTGCAGATGGATGTCCCGTACCCCACAGACGATTCGATCCATCAGGGCATCGTCTAAGTCTTGGAACTCGCAGTGCATTGCAGCCTGTCGCAGGGCGGTGGTGAAGTTGTTGATTGACTCCCCCTCTGCCTGGTTCCGGTGGTAGAATGCATGGCAGGCAGCAATCTTGGACGGCTTTGGTGCGTAGTGGTTGCGGAGCTTCTCTTGGATCGTGTCCCACGGTGTTGCCTGGACTGCTTCAGGCGCAACCAATGCTCAGGCCGTCTCAAACACCTCATGCCCACAGAGGCTGAGGAATAGGCCGCGCTTACGCTCCTGTGATACTTGCGTCAGCTCGTTGGCTTGGAGGTAGCAGTCAAACCAAGCGAGGTAGGAGTCCCATGATTCAGAGGCTGGTGCAAACGGCGGTAGAGGCACAAGTGAAGCCATGATTCCGATGCCGGCATGAAGGGCGATGGATGGAACACCGTGCTCTAGCCACAACAGTCAGCTCTGAATTGGTTCTGTTCAGTGATTTCGCTCAGTGATTCAGCTCTGCTCAGAGGGTGGCTGCATCTGGCTGTGCTCTGATGTCCACCGATCCCACCTTCGTCGCCAGAGTTAAGTTGTGGGCGAACATAGCAGACGACACAGCGATTTCTCCAGAGCAGCTCTTTATTTGTAAGCTGGACAGAACTGAACAGCAAACAGCTCAGCCGGCCTGCTTTTATAGGCAGCTGGCTGTCAACATTGTAGCAACAACAACCCAGGGTTTCCCGCCTAAAATAACTGACGTGGACCTGAGTGAAAACTATCTACAGTATCCCCCTGCTGGCCCAGGGTGAGAACTTCAGTACATAACATAAATAAACAAGCAGGCCTGGTTAGAACAGCCATAAGTGTCCCTATTTTCCAGGGACAGTCCTGGATTTTCAGAAGCCACCCCGGTTTCTTATTTGATCTGGGAATGTCCTGCTTTTCCTTAGGATGTTCCTATTTTCATGGGAGAAATGTTGGAGGGTATGGAGATATCTGACTCCTGAGCCAAGGAGATAAGTAACTATGCAACCTTGAGAAGACATCTGAAGGCAGCCCTGTATAAGGAAGGGTTTTTTTAAAAATGTTTAATCTTTTATTGTCTTTTTATATATGTTGGAAACTGCCCAGAGTGGGTGGGACAACCTGGTTAGATGGGTGGAGTATTATTATTATTATTATTATTATTATTATTATTATTATTATTATTATTATTGAATAGGGTGTCCCTATTTTCATCGGAGAAATGTTGGGGGTGGTGGTGGCATGCAATCATCAGTTCCCTGGTTAGAACTGCCCTTAACATCACCCACAATTCCCCTTACAGAGCATGACCCTGGGTCATTGTGGTCAGCTGGACTTGGCTTAGGGCCGGCCCACCCATAAGACAGACTGAAGCAGCCACCTGAGGCAGCGGAATCCCATGGGGCAGCACTCTTGCGGGTGCTCCGCCCCTGCCAGGATTGCACAACTGCTGCAGTTTCCAGCAAGATCTTGATGGAGGTCGCTGCACACCCCTGTAAGTGAGGCTTTGGTAGTGGGGGCAGGAGATGGCAACTTCCTGTTTTGCCTCAGGCGGCAAAGCAGGGCAGGCAGCCCCTAATAATGATAATAATTTGTACCCCACCCATCTCACTGGCTTGCCCCAGCCACTCTGGGCAGCTTCCAATAGAATATAAGAAACACACACACACACACAAATCAGACATTTTAACTTCTCTGACTCAGCCATACAGTGCTACTTGTGAAAAGTTTTTTGAATTTTGAATTGCTATTGTTATTTATTAATTGCCTTCCACATATGTCCCAAGGCAGTGGACAAAATATAATAGGAACAGTTAAAAGCAGCACACACAGAGGAAAAAAACCAGAAGATGAATTTAAGAACAAAACAAATAATGTGGTTATTTATTAATCACATTCCGCATATTTTTACAAATATTAAAGAAAAAGTGTCAAAACGTTACCTCCGGAATCAGAAGCATCATGCTCCAGGGTACTAGTTGATGGTGCTGTTATTTATTCTTTTATTTAATCAAGTTATAGGCCACTTATTATCTCAAAGCGGTTTACAACAAAAGTAAAAAAAACCACCCTGTAAAATACATTAAAACACAACACAGACCTACAATTAACTATTTAAAAAATCAACATCAAAACACTTGAAGAACTGGAAAAAAGCACACAGAGACAAATGGAGGCAGAAACTGCAGACACATTCCAGCATTTTTCTTCTGCCTGTGTTTGGCTCATGGCTCTGTTTCTGTGGCATGCAAGCAAGGAGGAGGCAGCTCTGACCACCCGCACTGGTCTTGTGGGGCCCTGGCATGTTTGCAGCAGCATCTTCATGCCCCATCACCTGCCACTCCCTGGGTGGTCACTTGGGGGGGGGGGTCCTGAATTGCAGGACCCTGCACTTCTACCCTGAGGTCCAACCCTAGCCGCATCACTGTGTTCAGAAGTTATTGTGAACATGCACAGGGGAGTTTTGGCCAACAGGTGCAATCTTGCCTCACCCTCCTCCTCTTCCTCCTGTTTCCGTGAATATAGCCAGCATAAATACATCATCTAAACAGGAACTTCTGTGTATCTAAAAACAAGGCTGAGAGAGGCACCTAAACGCTGCCGTGATACATAATGCAGTCAGAATCCCAGTAAGATAATGCAAACAGCACAGGAGGGAAAAACATAGCTTCTTTTTATACTTGCTTATTAGGCCTTTCCTTGCCAGAATTATTTTATTCATCATCTACAGTAGCCAATTAATTCTTATGTTTTGCACGCACCATTGTTATTACCGACACCGTCCTATTATGCATCTTTGAGTCATCGGCAGCAGCACAAGGAGGTCATGAGTAAATGGACACCGCCCTGGGTTCCATAGATGCAAAAGCAGGATGTAATTGTAATAAATAAAACAATAAAGACGTAACATGGGAGTGGGGCCATTAAAAAGAATGGGCACAAGTTTTGCTAATGCTGTATCCAGCAAAGGACACATTGGCTGATGGGGTTTTGTCGAGGTTAACAACAAGGCTGTACCCTTTTAGGAAAGGGCTTTATTAAGCAACAATGCTGTCGTCCCTAAGGAAAGGGCTTTAGCTCAGAGGCAGAGAACCTGTTTTGTGTGCAAAAGGTCCCAAATTTGACCCCCGGCTTCTCCAGGTAGGGCGGGAAGAGATCCCTCTTTGAAACCTTGAAAAGCCACTTGCAGTCAGTATAACTAAATGGACCAAAGGTATGAGTCATTTTAAGGCAGCTTGCTATGTTCCTATTGTTGCACACCATCCCCAGTCTCTGAGCCTTGCTAGATCCCAGGGGTTCCAGGCACTTACCTAAGGTTTGGTTTCTTTTGGAATGAGGACCACAGAGACTGTGGCTTCAATGGAGGGGTCCACAACACCTTAAAAGGGTCTTGTTTCTCCCATAGCCTCAGCCTTGGATTCAAACAGAAGTCAAACATTGCTCTCTGACTCTCTCACCAGCTTGCTGCTTTCCTTCTGGGTCACATCAGTGCTCCAAACTCTATTCTCTAATCAGGCTTTATCTGTTGAGGGAGGCCCCCCACCCACCCACCCACCCATTTGCCATCTTGCACCAAGCTCCTTAATCCCCCCCCCATAAAGGCTCATCACCCAGTTTATCACCTCATCAAGGAGTTAGCCTGGCCATTCCAATAATGAGAAGTCTTAGAGGGGTCTGGCACCCAGCTTAAAACCCCAGTCTTATAACATTATGTTTCATGTACATTCTGCCTTCTGGGTCTTGACAAACATTCCATGAATATCACAATCCTGCGTATCACAAACAGAAGAGGGCTATTGTCCTATAGAATCAACCAACATTTAGCAATTTCTAAACGATCAATTTCTAAACAAAAAAGCCAGCATTTCCTGGTGAGATAAGTGTTTATTTCATAGAATTATAGAATTGTAGAGTAGCCCTAAAGCAGCCATGACAAGTTGCCATCCAACCTCTCCTTAAAAACCTCTAAGAAAGGAGAGTCCACCACCTTCTGTTCCACTGTCAAACAGTTCTTACAGTCAGAAGGCTCTTTCTGATGTTCAGTCAAAATCTCCAATCTTGTAACTTGAAGCCATTGGTTTGGGTTTAACTTCCCAGAATAGGAGAAATCAAGCTTGCTCCATCTTACATGTCACATTTTTTGTTGGTATCTGTCTGTCTCAAAAGACAATGGAGTGTGCCTCCTCTCAGGGGTGCAAGCCTGGGCAGTGTATATGGAGGTTCTGGGCTGC